TTACATTTTAAAAAGTTAACCCCAAAAAGTGTTCCCTAAAACAAGCTCTTTGAAGACAAAGAATTGGTCTCTTTAAAAATGATTTTTCATTATTAAATCATTGTATATCTGCTTTTTTAAAAAAAAATGAGGAAATACAGAACAGTAAAAAGAAGAAAAACCATCCATCACCCGCACTTCTATCACAAGCCAACGCTGCCTGGAAAGATCGTTTGAAAGGAGTGCCATTTCAGCGGAATTCAAGGAGCAGGAACGTGCTAGGTGGTGGACATTCTGGACTGAAGGAACAAAACAGAAAAGACAAGCGTGGAAGGGCATGGCTTAGGGGAAAATGAGACAAGAGCCATGGGTTTGCTTTGAGGTCGGTAAGCTGGGGCTTGAAAACTGGGCAGATGAGCAGAAGGTGGGGTAGGACTTCCAACGAGGGCGTCCAGCGGGCTGGAGGGTGAGACCTGCGCAGGTCCAATTCTCCTCTATGACGAGGCCAAGATGCCTGGCACACGGCGGGTGTCTGGTTCATATTTCTGGGCTGAATGAATGGGTACACACAAAGCAGGCCCACGCCCCTTAACGCCTCGTAGGGCTCCCGCTCAGCCACTGCCCCGCGGGCGCGCAGCTCACCAGCCCCGCACCCGCCCCTCGGGGCGGCTGACGCACTCGGGACGCAAGCGAGGAGCCCGGTTTCCAGGGCAACAAACGCCGGGCCGCCGTTCTTCCGCTCGTGCGTCACTTCCGGTCGCTTGCAGCTGGGCTCAGCATGCTTGTGCAGAGGTTCCGATTGGGGCGGTCTCCTCTCGTGTAGTTGGGTTGTTGTGGTGGGGATGCGCTAACCAAAATGAATCTTCGGTTCTGGGGATGCGCTAACCAAAATGAGTCTTCGGTTCTGCCGGAAGAGCTGGTGGGGAGAGGCAGGTGGAGTTTGGTTTCCGTCCCCCCAACCAATCGCTTTCAAATCCGCCCCCTGGGCGCCGCGGGGAAAACGACGCCTCGCCGCTGCCAGATCTGGAGCATGCGCAGTCCCACCGAGGAAGCCGCAGCGATCCAGTGTTCCGTGATTTCCGCGCAGCCGGAGGGAATCCAGGGGGCGTGGCAGGGGCGTGGCGGGCAGCGAAGGTGTTGATTGGCCAGTTAGAAGCCGGGCTTGTGGAGCTGCTGTAGACCCCTGTGGCGGTCTCTGGAGTTTCATTCATTCATTCCTTCATTGAAAGGATTGATTCACCAACTTTCACTGAGAGTACGCTACGTCAGGCGCTGCGATTCAGAGATAAGTTGGACGGTGTCCCTGTCCTCCAGGAGCCCACGATTTGGCTGACACTCTGCCGTGTCCCCTCCTTTCTTCCTTTGCAACCTTATCGCCTCTCTTCTCCACTCGAGTCTGGTGTGATGGGGTTTTTGTACAGAGAGATGACACCCCGCCCATCTTACTCCAGGGACCTTCCCTGAAGGGTCCCCATCTCTGAAAGCAGTAATTGCACACTGAAAGGCCTGAGGTGGAATCCTGGCTAGCGGCTCAATTACTGAGCCACTTCCATCACTTTACATTCACTCCTAAAAGAAGAGTCTAGTTATTTGCGGAGAGGTTGTGAGGCTTAAAATGGGCTCTGCCTTTCATCTTGAGATTGAATCCCAGCTTTGCCCCTCATTAGCTTGTGTGACTTTGGGACATTCTGGGGAGGCCTCTGGTTGTCCAGCGCTGGCTGAGACTCGAGTCTGAATAATTCTAAGCGAAGGATTTAGTAAACCAAAACCAAACTTTTGGCTCCAGATCTAAAGCACCCTCTCCAACCGACATATTGGTAATAAAATAGACTTGTAAATATCCGTTGTCTGATTCCTTTGTCTTATTTCTCAATTGTTCCACACTCAGGAATGGAAAAAAGGAGGGCTATTGCTTAGTCCCTTACATTAGAAAAACCTACCTTATAGGGTCATGGTCAGGATTATATGAGACATTTGTGCCAAGCACATTGCATGTTACCTGCCAGGTGTATTATTTTGAGGTAATAGATGTGAAAGACCTGCTCAGGTGGCTGGTTCTTAGTGGTGCTAAACAAATGTAGTTAAATAAATGAATCTCTTCCCTCCCAGCTTGGGAACTAGAAAGCCCAGGTGAGACATGGCACTATGGATAGGTATCCGAGTGAGCTGCATTGTAGGAGAGAGCTCTACAACATGGAAAGGAGTAAGGAACCCTTTATAAAACTGTTGGGAGATCAGAAATCCCAACAGGTGATGGGCTTTGCCCAAAGTGGGGTGATTATATCACCCAACCAGAACACTTTTAGCCATGACAACAGGCATAAATTGGGATTGTCCCAGGCAAATCAAGATATATGGTCACCCTACCCCAAAGCCATACGAGTAGCATGTGACAAAACTGAGATGGAACTTAGATCTGTCTCACTCTGTCTCAAAGTGTCTTTCATATTTGATTTTATTTAATCCCAATAATGGCCCTATGAAGTGATTATCCCCATTTTGTAGAGGAAGACATTGAGGTTACATAGTGAGTGATGGAGTGGGTGCTCTGACCTGCGCCTTTGACTCAAGTTTCAGTGATGATTCTCAACTCCATGAAGCCTCTTTGGGCATTGGTCCTCATGTCTGAGACTGCATGGTTGGATGTTTCTGGGAAACAGATTTTGCCTCATTTTACTGGAGAACTTTCTAATAGGGCTCTTATCATCAGAGCTTTCTGCCTGTTAGGACTTTTGTAGAGGGGATCTGGTGTGGGTGTGAGGTTGGACCTGATGATTTTAGAGGCTCTTTCCAATCCAACTTTAGGGGTCTACAAACTCCTTGAGAGCAGGTTTGATATGTTCTTTGAATTCTCAATGTTCTGAGCAGAGGCTCAGGAAATGTTAAAGCTGCAAAGGGAGAACAACCCCAGGAGTAAGATACGCCTGGGACTGGTCTGGACACCCCCATTTGATGGCTGTGGGGCCGTGGCAACTCTTACATTCTCTGAGCCTCAGTTTCCTCAATAGTAAAAATGCAGAATAGTCTCCTCCCTCCCTCCCCCATAGATTTGCTGAGACAATAAAACAAATTAATATAAGTGAGTACATTGTAAACAGAGAAACATTGTACAAAAATAGCAATGTTCTCTTTTGCTGGCTTTCAATCTTGCTTTCCAAATTGCTTGTCTTATCCATTTATAGAGAGAATGAGAACAGAGGAGGATTACGGAAAGAGCACAGGCCATAGAGTCAGACAGCCCCAGATTTGAATCCCTAAATAGCACCAGCCACTTGTGTGGTGCTAGCCAAGTGGTGTGTCCTTTCTGGACCTCAGCGCTAAGAATAGCTACCTTGCATAGATCTTATGAAGACTGTGTGAGCTAAGCATGGAGCGCTATTCCTGTTAGAGCTCCTGGTAGACCTCCATAAAGAGTGATCTCTTTTAATATCCATCTTCTGTGTTCTATAACTGTCAACCTGCACTCTCAATCCCGTGGAGCAGCCACCTTGGGCAGCTTTTTGCCGTGTCCTGGAGGCACTCTCCCCCAGCCTCTGGGCGCCTCTGTTGCGAATGCTTCCTGGCTGTCTGGCAGGCTGGAAATCTGCACCACCTGTTTTGCCCTGAAGATGTGTTCTGTTTATAACTCATTTCTACTCCTTGGAAAACAATTCAATAAAAACTCAATTGGTTTTTCCACTAGCCCTGGGCAAGGATGAGGGATAGGATATTATTATTTTATAAGAAATATGAATAATAAAATAAGACATAAAACAGCACTGGGCACATAGCTGAGAGTCAATGAATGCTGGCTGGCTTAAAGCAAAAGTGATGGCTCAGTTTTTCCCTGGCTGCTGTATTCGCTGCGAGAGCCACTCCCATCCTCCATTACAGTTTTTAATTGAAAAAGAAATACATGCATATGGTAAAAAAAAGTCAAACCAAACACAAAAATACACTAGGGAGAGAGGGTCTCCCTGGTCCTCTGTTCTCTCAGCCCTTCCTGGAGATGCCACTGTTTACCATTCCTTGTGTATCTTTCCAAATATGATATGTATGTTCCAAGATATGTATGTAAATTCCTTGTTTTATTTATTTTTAACATAGAGGGGTTTAAATCCTTAAGTGGCTTCTGGCTCTATCTGGCAAGCTGAGTACCTCGGCCCTGGAACTAACGGACAGCTGTCCCACACCCAGGGCCTGTTTGGAGCCCTTGATGTGGATCGATCACTGGGGCCCCCAAAGTCTGGAGTGGTTTTACCCAAGAGGGATGGGGACCACGCACCAGCACTCGGGCAGTCTGCTCCTGGCTCGGGGCTCTGCCCTCAACCTCACGCCCCCATCCAGCGCCTGTGACTGTGCACATAAAGCACGCCCAGAGGTACGCTGAGACCGTGAGTGCCTCAGTTTCCCAACCTGAAAAAGGGGGAACTTAGGCTCCTCGCAGCGGTAGTTCTGAGCGTTGGCGACAACGCCTGCGGGTGCTTCGCCCCCGGAGATACACGAAGCCCCGCTCGGCGCGGGGGTTTTGCGGGGGCCTCCGCCGAGGGCTCCAATAGGAAGGTGAAATTCGAGCCGCGTGCGTGAGGGATTAGAAAGTGGCGCGGAGACAGGACAGGCCCCTCCTCCGGGGAGGGAGGGGCCCCAGCAGCAAAAGCTTTTCTGTCCCGGTTCTCTCCCTCCCCAGTCTCCCTCCTTTCCCCTTCCTCGTCCATCCATCCCCCTCTTCTCCCTCCCTCATCTTCTCTCCTTTCCCCCTCCAGCTCCCTCCTTACCCCTCTTTTCCTCCTCCCTCCCTTCCTCCTCCCCTTTCCTCCCTCCCCTCCTCCCCGTTTCTCCCGCCCCGGTCTCCCTCCGTTCCTCCTCCCGGTCCCTCCGTTCCCCGCTTCCTCCTCCCTCTGTTTCTCTCTTCTCTGTCCCTCCTCCCTTCTCCTCCTCCCTCCCTTGCTTCCCCGCCGTCTCTCGCAAAACCCGGAGCGGATCGCCGGCCCGGGACTAGCCTCGCGCATGCGCCGGAGCGGCGCCGGCTCGGCCGACAGTCGGAAGCGCCAGCCCTGAGCCGGGGCAGCGGCTGCAGAGGCTGCTCCGCCGCGCCGCCCGCCAGGCCGTTGGCTCCTGCTCCGGGCCCGGGGCTACCGGCTGTGTAAGTGCGAGGTGGGGGGCTGCCGGGCAGGGGATCGGGCCGGCTGCGGGAGGCCGTCTGTGTGTCCCGGCGTGCGAGGGCGCGAGTCAGCGTGTGTCCCGCTGAGGGGCTCGCCCCAGCCCGCACCTGCCCGGGCCACCTGCCCCCGCTGTTACCCCGCCTGGCGCCCCGGTCACACCGGGCCCCGCCCCGGCCCCTGTCTCCTCAGTGCGCGGCGGGCGACCCCTTCGTCTCTTCGGCCGGCGGGTCCGCTCGGCTCGGCTCCCTTTGCTCAGCCAGCAGCGCCGACCCCCCGGGCCCGGCGGGATCTGGGGACCCCCGGCCGGAGCAGGTGTCCGAGCTGGGCTGCAGCCCACGCCCCCGGGGCTTCACTCCTCTCCCTTCTTGCTCCTCCGGCTCTTCTGGATTAAAAGTGCCTCGGATCCGGCTCGGCGGCTTCAGGCGCTCTTTCCTGGGATGAGGTCCTCGTGTTGTAAACTGCAGTTTATCCCAGTGAAGTCCTGGGGAAAGAGTGACAGCACTGTGTTTGTCGTGGGTCTTCTCCCTCTGGCCGTCCCGCCCCAGTTCACCTTCCCAGTGTAAATGCCTCTTAACCGGAGTTTTCTGGTGTTAGGATAGGGGGTGCTTGATTTCACATGTTTTTATAGAGAGAGGGATTAAAATATTGAAAGCAGGTCTCCGTTTAGTTCAAAATGAGCTGAAGGCTTGGGGCTGTGACGTCCTCCCTCCCCCTCGGCCCTCCAGTTTAGACTAGTGACTGTCGATTTTTAAAAGATAGTTAATAGCCGCTTCCTAGTCCAGCCCAGCTGGTATTTAACATGCAACGACAGCACTAGAGGCGTGATGTTGGAGACCCAGAATATTGCAATCCTAAAGATCTCCTGACAAGGTTTTGTTTTGTTTGTTTTTCTTAAATCGTGTGGCACACGTGTAGTACAGGACTAGTATAGAGGGAAAAATAGTTGTCAAGAAATATTTTTTTAAAATAACAGCTTTATTGAGGTATTGTTCACATATCATAAAATCTGCCCATTTAAGATATACAATTCTGTGGTTTTTAGTGTATTCACCGTTGTGCAACCATCACCATTCCAGAACATTTTCATCACTTCAAAAAGAAACTTAATACCCATGGGCGGTCACTCCTCATTCTCCTCTCCTGTAGCCCCTGGCAGCCCCGAATTTACTTTCTGTCTCTATGGATTTGCATATTTTTGGCATTTCATATAAATAGAGTCATACAATATGTGGCTTTCTGTGACTGGCTTCTTTCACTTAGCATAATGTTTTCAAGATTCATCCATGTACTAGTGGTATCAATACTTTGTTCCTTTTTATGGCTGAGTGCTATTCTATTGTGTGGATAGACCACGTTTTGTTTATCCATTCATCAGTTGATGGACATTTGTCTTGTTTCCACTTTTTGGCTGTTACAAATGATGCTGTGAACATTTGTATACAAGTTTTTGCATGGACATACGTTTTCAAATCTCTTCGGTATGTACCTAGGAGTAGAATTGTTGTTTATATAGTAACTCTATGCTTAACTTTCTGAGGAACTATGAAGTTGAAGAAATATGTTTTTGAAGTTTTCATATTTGTGTTAGATTAGTCTCAGAAACCGGAACTCGTTCAGTGCCAGGTCTTGTTTCGTCATATTTTCCCTTGAAGAAACCCGTGGAAAAGCATGGACTCTGGGGCCCGGCCCCAGTTGGTCACTTACAGACTAGGAGACCTTGAGCAGATGACTGAGCCTGGGGTTCTTCATCTGTAAGACTGAAGATAGTAATGCTTGTTTCTTAGGATCATTGTGAAGTCTAAATATGATAAGTTGTAAAGAGCCATGGGCCGGCCCCGTGGCTTGGGGGTTAAGTGCGCGCACTGTGCTGCCGGCGGCCCGGGTTCGGATCCCGGATGCGCACCGACGCACCGCTCCTCTGGCCATGCTGGGGCCGCGTCCCACATACGGCAACTAGAAGGATGTGCAGCTATGACAGACAACTATCTGCTGGGGCTTTGGGGGAAAAATAAATAAATAAATAAAAATCTTTAAAAAAAAAAAATGCCAAGGTGCCATATTTAAAAAAAAAAAAGAGCCCAGTGCAGGTCCTTTCCCACCTTGTATGAGACAGATTTCCCCCTGTGTTAGATGCATATTTTGGGTTTAGGGCAAAAGTGAACAAGAACTTTGCTGGATAACGAGCTGCTTCAGGGAGAACCCTTGCTTGAGGTTATTGAGTTTATTGAGCTGTGGTATGGATTTGATTACTGGTCTGCTTTTCAGTGTCTAGTTAGAACTGGAAGGGACCCAGAGGCATCCTTCAGTCCAGGGTGACTTAGTTGTTTAGATTTCATAGATTGGTAAATTCCAAAAAGCTGGAGGGTCAGTAATAGGGTTATTAGTTTTTATTTTTTCCCAGATAAGACAGTGGAAAAACAACGACCATCTACTCGCATCATCATTTTATAAAAGCTGGAATGTTTAACATCAAAAAATGAGGAACCTAAAAATAAATGATAATAATAATAGTTAATATTCATAAAGCACTTACTAAATTTTTGTAAGTTTAGTTTTATGAAAAGCTCATACAGGGCCGGCCCCGTGGCTTAGCGGTTAAGTGTGCATTCTCTGCTACTGGCGGCCTGGGTTCGCATGCCGGGCGCGCACCGCCGCACCGCTTCTGCGGCCATGCTGAGGCCATGTCCCACATACAGCAACTAGAAGGATGTGCAGCTATGACACACAACTATCTACTGGAGCTTTGGGGAAAAAAAAGGAGGAGGATTGGCAATAGATGTTAGCTCAGAGCCTGTCTTCCTCAGCAAAAAGAGGAGGATTAGCATGGATGTTAGCTCAGGGCTGATCTTCCTCACAAAAAAAAAAAAAAGCTCATACATTATTCTTATTTTTCTCATTTTAATGAACACCTGCTGTCCTCAGACCTGTGTCCAAGACGCACTGTCCCCCTATCTTCAGGCAGATCTGCATCTGTAATACACGGCCTTCTTTATGCCTCTATCTGTTGCTCATGGAAGGAGGGTATTACAGGAGCAGCAGCATAATCTATTGACAGATGAGATGGACCGAGGCTCTGAAACTAGCTAGCCGGCTGAAAACTAGACTATCAGCTGCTTGAAGTTGGACCTTCTTTTCTTTTTAACTCTTTAAAAAATTTTTTAATATATAATATGTCAAAGGTGTATGTAATGTTGACATACAGTTTAAAGAATAGCATAACAAATGCCTCTGTATTTACCATCCAGCTTAAGAAAGAGAACATAACTACTACTTCTGAAGCCCACTGTTAGCCTCTAAAACTGCATTCCTCTCTGCCACCCAAGTAACCACTATCCAAATTTATTTTTTCTTTATAGTTTTACCATATGTGTAAATATCCCTAAACAATATATTGTTTAGTGTTGCCTGTTTTTGAACTTTATATCAATGGAATTGTACTGCTTGTATTAATTCACAACTTGCTTTATTTGCCCGTTATGTTTTTGAGATTCATCCATGTTCCTGCAGTGTAGCTATAGGTCATTCCTTTTCACTGTTCTATAGTATTCCATTGTGTTAAAAGACCACAGTTTCTTTCTCTGTTCTCCTGACAGTGGACATTTGTGTTGTCTCTAGTTGTTGTCTCTAAGACCCTTTGTTTATGTCTCCTGCCATCCATGTGCTAGAGTTCCTCTAGGAGGGAAATGACCAGGTCTACATGCCTACCTGTCATATCAGAGAGTTACCTTTGATCTACATCGTTGCAAACACTTCGTGTTTTTCATAGTTAATATGTTTTGTCTGTACAGCCATGTTCAAAGTAGCGTTATTCACAGTAGCCCAAAGCTAGAAGCAACCCAAATGACCTTCAATGAATGAATAAACAAAATGTGCTATATACATACAATGGCATATTATTCAGCATTAAAAAAGAAGGAAATTCTGACACATGCTACAACACAGATGAACCTTAAAGAACCTTAAAGAACCTTCACATTCTGCTAAGTGAAATAAGCCAGTCACAAAAGGACAAATAGTGTATGATTCCACTTATATGAGGGGCCTAGAACACTCAAATTCATAGAGAGAAAGTAAGGGGAAAAAAAGGTAAGAATAGTGGTGGCCAAGGGCTGGGGAGTATGGGAGTGTGGAGTTATTGTTTAATGGGTACAGAGTTTCAGTCGAGAAAGATGAAAAATTCTGGAGATGGTTGCACAACAATGTGAATGAACTTAATGCCACAGAACTGTACACTTAAAAATGATAAATTTTATGTTATGAATATTTTGCCACAGTAAGTGTTTTTTTTTTTTTTAATCTGGTAGGTGTGAAATGGCCTGTCTCTGTGGTTTTAATTTGCTTTTTCCTGATTGCCATTGAGGTGGGGCATCTTTCTGTACATGTCTTGGCTATGTGAGTTTCGTCTTCAAAGACGTCTATTCGAGCATTTTGCCCATATTCTGATTGGGTTATGTATCTTTTTCTAACTCATAGATAACCCGTTGTCCTGATGCCAATTATTGGAGTCTGTCCTTTTCTACTGCCCTACAATGACAACTCTGCCATATTTCAAATTTCTGTGTGTGTGTGGGTGTGGTTCTGGGCTTAGTTACATTTCATATTTCTCTTTATCGCTGTGCCAGTACTGTGCTGACCATAGCTTTTTATTTGGTCTTCCCCTCCTCCCACAGATTTATTGAAATATAATTCATATACCATACAGTTCACCCATTTAAATGTACAATTTAGTGGTTTTTAGTGTATTCATAGAGCTGTGCAGCCATCACCACAATCAATTTTAGAACATTTCATCACCCCAAAAAGAAACCCTGTACACCATTAGCAGTTATATCTGGTCTGCTATCTGGTGGCAAATGCCCCACCCCAGTGGTGGTTCTTCAGGAGTTTCTCGGCTCTTCTTGACCATAAATTAACTTGTTACATTCCGTGAAAAATCTGGGAGGAATTCTGATCAGAATTGCATTGAATTTACATATCAATAGGGGAGAATTAACATCTTTATGATAGTAACTTTTTCTACCCACTAATGTATCTTCACCTTCTCTTTTCACCTGTACAGAGCCTGGCACATGGGAAGTCCTCACTAGATGTCGGGTATGTGAATACTGAGATTTTGTAGATCATTAGTTTCAGCTGTAGCCTTTCACAAAAGAGAAAACTAAACCTCAATGAAAGTACGTGACTCACTTCTGGCCACGTAGAGTCATAGCCAGTGCTTGAACCACCTCGATGGACTTGGTGCTACCAGAGTTCCTGCCACCTACTGCTCATGGCGTAGCAGCATCCTTTTCGCTAATAATGCATGTTACTTGGCCACTCTAAGTTTTATTAATTTGATCCTGTCTGTAGGTGGCTTTTCTCAGGTGGGCCTATGTGTGATTTGTGCACATGTTAATAAAGATCTCTATTTGGGAGAACTCCGTGCCTAGTGTGGTGCCTGGCACGGTGTGCCCACCCAGCACTCACTCGAATTGGGAAAAACCACAGTAAAGGTTGGAATTTCCATTATGATTCCAGATTCTCAATTTCTATAACCTGTTATAGAACAGGTTGTAGGGCAGTAGAAATTGATATAGCTCACCTTAATTTTGCATGCAAACATATTGAATAACTTGATGAAACTTCATTGTCCAGTGTTGTAGAGAGAAGGCCTTGTATGATTTTCTCTTTCTTTTTTCTAGCCCTTGTTCTCCTGGGCCTTACAGGCCCTTCATGCACTCAGCAGTGCCCCGGGCTTGCTTGGTGCTGCTGTGAGGCAGTACTTGCTTATTAATAAGGCCCTTTCCTCAGCTGCCCTGGGCCTCCGTTTTCTTCTCTGGATAATGAAGGCTTAGACCAGATAAATGTTTTTCAGTTTCTTTTAAACCCATGCCTCCTTTTGAGAAACACAAAACTCTCCAATCTCCCCCCTCAACCCCAACCCTTAAGATTTCGGTACATCACCCAAGGGATGCCATGCCTCTTTGTGGAAAGGTCATGTGATTTTGGTTCTTTCCAAGGTGGTGCAGAAAAGACTCTTCAGAGAATTTTTGCTGAGAGGGGGCAGGAGGGAGGCAGTGTGACATCGTCCTTCAGTGTGAGCATGGAGTAGGGGGCTTGGGTTTAAATACTGCCTCTGACGTGGCCTCTCTGTGATTTTTCACAATGTAATAAACCTCTCTTTGCCTCAGTTTCTTCATCTGTAAAGCTGAGGTTATACTTAAAGGTTTAAATGAAATAATATCCATGTAAACCATTTATGTTCTGGGTAGAAACAAGATATGTTAGGGGGCCAGGAGTTCCTTTTTAAAAAAATCTTGTTTGTACACCTCTGTCCATTTGTATTTTTTTTTAATTGTATTTATTTATTTATTTCCCCCCCAGAGCCCCAGTAGATAGTTGTATGTCATAGCTGCACATCCTTCTAGTTGATGTATGTGGGACGCGGCCTCAGCATGGCCGGAGAAGCAGTGTGTCTGTGCGCACCCGGGATCCGAACCTGGGCTGCCAGCAGCGGAGCGCGCGCACTTAACCACTAAGCCACGGGGCCAGCCCTGTCCCTTTGTATTTTGAAGTTGGTGGAGGGTGAGGGTTGGGATCTAAAGTCCATCATGGGGTAGGTGGCCCCAGGGTCTGCATGTCCAGAATTCCTCCCAGTCCTTTTCCTCTCAGTCCGGGGTGAAATCCCTGCTATTAGAATTATAGAGAGGTCTTGTAGGAATGGCCTTGTAATTTTGTTGTTTCCCCTGGGAGGGCTGCTGACATGATCTCTGCAGTCAGGTTTTGATGACCTGAAGGTTGTGCAATTTGGAGTTCCTATTTAAGAAAAAAAAAACAAAATTACAAATGCAAAGTTAGATATAGGGCCATGGAAGGGGCTTGTGCAAGTGGGGCCTGAAGCCTAAGCTTGGTTAGCTTCGGGGTATAGCTGCCTCTGGCCATGAGTACAGTCCCCATGCTGTGAAGGAGCATACTGATGGGTGTGGTGGCAATGTTCATTGAGTGCATCTTATGGGCTAAGTGTTTTCCTGTTTATATGGTGTATTCCTTATTTGATACAGTGAGCTCATTTAATCTCAATAGGCTTTTAAAAAAATTAGACTTTTTATTTTGACATATAATGTAGATTCCCATGCAGTTGTAAGAAATAATGTGGAGAGAGCCAATGTACCCTTTGCCCAGTTTCCCCTAATGGTACCACCTTGCAAAACTATAGTATAATATCAGAACCAGAATATTGACTCACTAGCCTTTTGAGGTGTATGTTTTTATCCTCATTTTTATTCGCGATTGGACCGGGGTTAAGAGAAGCACACAGGCCCGCCCCAGGTCACCCAGAGGGTTAGTGTAGGGTCGGGGGATGAACATGGTCTTCTGACTTCCAGGCAGTGCCATCTCCATTATGACAGGCCATGGGAGGGGCAGTATTCAATTCATTTTGTCATTCATTCAACAAATATTTATTGAGTACTTCCTGTGGGCCAGATGCTTTCATATGGGTTATCTGATTTAATTCTTCAATAGTACTAGGAGTCAGGTAATGTTTTCTTTTTATATCTGATAAAATTGGCTCAGAGAGGTTACAAAAACTCTCCCATGGTAACACAGTTTATAAAGGAGGGATAATGAATGTATGTAATCCCTCGTTTTATGTCAGGCAGTGTGTTAGGTACCTTACATTTGCAACCTCCTTTACTCCAGATGTAGTCTTAAAAGGCAAGTTTATTATCTCCATTATTTTGCAGCTAAGGAGACTGGAGTTCAACTCCAGATCTTGTGATTCCACTGTGGTTCTTTTCGTTATATCCTGCTGAGGGGATGGTGGAGCAGTTCATTCATTTGTTCATTCATTCATTCAGCAAACATGTTTGAGCACTGACTCTATGTCGGTACCTGGCAAGGTGTCAGAAATAGAAAGATAAGAGACAGGAGCTCAAAGCCTACTCCAGGAGTCATGGTATTGAGAATAAGAGCTATGGTGGCCATGTGCAGCACTCTAAGGACAAACTGTGCTCCACAACTTTGCTCGGGGCTCACCCTGGCTTCCAGGTGGTAGATGTCAGAATCACCACATCCCAGAGTGGGCCACAAAAGCATGCACCTCAAAGTCCCCGTTTTTCTCTTTGGGCAGGGACTTCAAAATGAGCGTCCCTGACTACATGCAGTGTGCTGAGGACCACCAGACTCTCCTTGTGGTGGTCCAGCCTGTGGGGATCGTCTCGGAAGAGAACTTCTTCAGGATCTACAAGAGGATTTCCTCTGTGAGCCAGATCAGCGTTCGAGACTCCCAGCGTGTGCTCTACATCCGCTACAGACACCACTACCCACCCGAGAACAACGAGTGGGGCGACTTCCAGACCCACCGCAAAGTCGTGGGCCTCATCACCATCACAGACTGCTTCTCGGCCAAGGATTGGCCGCAGACCTTTGAGAAGTTCCACGTGCAGAAGGAGATCTATGGCTCCACGCTCTATGACTCCCGGCTGTTTGTCTTTGGGCTGCAGGGTGAGATCGCCGAGCAGCCACGCACCGACGTGGCCTTCTACCCCAACTACGAGGACTGTGAGACGGTAGAGAAGAGGATCGAGGACTTCATCGAGTCGCTCTTCATTGTGCTCGAGTCCAAGCGTCTGGATAGGGCCACAGACAAGTCTGGGGATAAGATCCCGCTTCTCTGTGTCCCATTTGAGAAAAAAGACTTTGTAGGATTGGACACAGATAGCAGGTAAGTTTACCTAGGGGCCCAGATTCCTTGGCTTCTGGCTTGGGTTGTTTCCTGACAGCAAGAAGGGATAAGCAAATCGTAGAATTTTATTGCAGCAAGGGGTTGAAAGGTGCAGTCCCTTGTTTTTCAGACTTTCAAAAACAGGACAGCTTTTGGTTAAGGGAAATCCTTTTAGGGCTAGTGTGTACACTTACTCTGCCTTTTCAGCTGGGACCCCGTGGGACCAACCCCCAGTGCTGCTGTCCAGTACAGTAGCCGCAGCCGCTCGTGGCCCTTGAGCACTAGAGAGGAGGCTAGTCTGAGCCGAGATGTGCACGAAGTAAAACGCATATCCGATTTGGAGACTTAGTACGGAAAAAAGAACATAAAATATCTCAATATTTTTATATTGATTACATGTCCAAATGATAATATTTTACATACATTAGATTAAATAAAATATATTATTAAAATCAGTTTCGAGTCTTTGTTTTTTACTTTTTTAATTGTGGCAACTAGAAAACTTAGATTTACTGGTGTGGCTCGCATTTTATTCCTATTGGACAGTGCTGCCCTAGAGCACAGTTTGACAACTTTTATTCAGTCTCATCCCTTGGATTTATAGATGAGATGCTGAATCTGGAGAGGCAACGGAACTGGGTGCTAGCTGAGCTGGAAGTGGAGCCCATGTCTCCTGCCTCCCAGGCCGGGCAGTCTGCACGGGTCTGGCCCCTTCTCCCTACCTGACAGCCATAGTGTCAGATTCCTCACTTTGCGAGCAGAGGAAAGTGTGTTTGTATTCTCTGTATAACAGGGAGTGTTGGACAGGGCAGGAAAATGTCAGTCCTCACATTTCCCCTGTGATTAAGTCAACAGCTTTACTTTGCACCAGAATTGCAATTAGCTCTTGCTGGCCATTGGCTTCCCCGCTCTGCCCGCTGCTCTGTTTCCTTGTATGGCCATTGTGGCGTGCGTCGGGCAGAAGAGGACGAGATGCAAGGTTAGGCTGCAACTCTTTGCCAAGAGGCGGTCTCTTTTTCGCTAGGGAGAGCATGGGGTAGCTGTGTCTCTCCAACTTCGTCCCTTGGCCACTCTGAGTCTCTCCTCCCTCCTCTGTAGAATTCGGGTGATGGTCTCCCAGGTGAGGATTAAATGACATAGTGTGCATGCTGGCAGAGTGCCCACTGCCAAGTAGGTGCTCAGTATGTTTCTTGAATATACCTGAGATCAAACACTGACTTTCTGGTTGTTGGTAAGTTGGAGGAGAAGGTGTCACAGAATTGAGAAAATAATAGGCCCAGGCCAGCCCTGCCAGTGAGAAGCACAGAGTAGCCCAAGTCACACCTGCGTGTGGTACTTGGCAGGGTCTGGAGTAATTTTCATTTTCTCACTTGGACGTTTATGTGGCCTAGGGAAAGGACAAGGCATGTCATACCCACGACCTGTACTTAATCCTTGCAGTGGCCCTGTGAGCTACATGCCAGCGCTCCCCTTTTACTCCTTGGAGCTGAGGTGACAAGGTTTAGAGGCCTGGGCAGCTGCTGAGGGGCAGAGCTGCTGTATGCACCAGGCCCCCTCCAAAGCTGTCTCCTTTTACCTCACCTGTTGCTCCTGCTGAGGCTCCTGGTCCGTCAGGCGGGGTAGGCACCTGTGGTAATCATCCCTTAGAAAGTGGGGCTGCACGGTGTGCACAGCGCCCTGCGTTCCCCGTGTCACGGCAACCTGTGGTGTCGGCGTCGGCAGGGACTGGCTTCTCCCCACTGCGTAGACTGGTGGGTGGGTGGCTGAAGCCTTAAAGTGGCTTCGGCTGGAAACTCTGCTCTGAACCCTCGACTAGTGCCTTCTCCGTTGCTGCACGAGGCACTGGTGACATTTTTTGCTCATTGACTTCTTGGCTTTGAGGTTGCAGACCCACTGGAGAATGCCACCTTGTTTTTGCATTTTGAAATCTGTGCTCACAATTCAGCGGGAGTAACGAGACTGTTTTGGGATAGCGCACCTGGCGCATAGTGGCTAATAATGTTAACAAGTGTTTATCGAGAGCCTCTGTGTGCCAGGCACGGCTCTAGGCATCGGAAGTACAGCAGCGGATTAACCCTTCCTCCTGACGGGTCCGTTCTATTCTAACCGTGCTGTAGACACTCAGCCATCATTTGAACTTGAGTGAGATAATGACACCAGTGACCTCAGATCAAGCACGTTCTCCTCTAATCAGTTAATTGTTATTGCTTCATGACTCCCTAGTTCTCTAATTTTTCAAACAATGTTTTGGTGTAGGAACAGAGCCTAACTCTCTCCTGCAACTCTTGGAAGGAGTGATAAAAAGTGTCCAACCTGAAATGAGATGGTATTTTGCAGCTCGAAAGGAAATGTCTAGATGTAGGTCACGTTTTGGTTTGACGCACTGACCACACTGACAGGCCCCATGGCAGATGGGCCGACGGCCCGGGAGCACGGGGTTCGTGTGGGTTTTACTTCAGCGTTCACACCAGCCCCGGGCTCATGAAAGCCCCCAGTGAATTCTTGTACATGTAGTGCTGTAGCTGTCGAAGTTATTTTTGTTCTTGTGTGTTTCTAATTTTTGCTTGTTCCTCTTTCTTTTCTTTTCCTTTTTTTTTTTCTATCATACCGCCCTGTGAGTATGTTGTTGGGTCTGAAAAGGTAGGCTGTGAACATACTGCATTGAAAATAGCTGGATTTCCCTATGCGCTGCCTTCCCATTGCTTCCATCGCTTTAAAAAACAAAACCTTACTGCTGCCTAGATCCATAGATTATATTGGTCATCTTTTTATTTTCTAATTTTTTAAAATTTTAGCTTTTTTAGCACGTAACCCATTGGTTTTGATATCTGTTAGAATCCTTGCTTTGGGGAACTTGTTTGGTCTTACTTAGTATTTGGTGACAAATGAGCCTTTATTAATTTTTTGTTTGTTTTAAGGATGTGAGATGCTAATTGATTTAGGTGGCTGCAGAGGGATTTTTCATGGGCTGTTTTAACTCGGAAAGTCTAAGACTGCAGCGCCTCGCTTGATTCTGGCTTTTAAATGAACGCATTAGGCACATGATTTTTGGCTGTCGCTGTGTGATGTGCATGATGGTGCTTACTGACCAGCAGTCACCAGTAAAGGTGCAGCACGGGACTGGCTGGCCACGAAGGGACGCTGTTGGAGGAAGCGGTTACCAGATTTTCTTTTGCTTTCCCCTTGAGCATGCCATCGACTTTACTTCGTCTTAGCGACGTTCCTTCATAAAGGGGCAGAGGCTGTTCTACACTCTACACCAGTCTTTCACCCCCTTTTATGAGGGGGACTTTTCTAAGTATCAGGAAAATAGGGCCATCTCCTAAATAGCTAGTCTGTTTGGGTCTGTGGACAGAGGACCTCTATAATTAACTGTCGTTCCCTCTCTGCTTTAGCCAGTAGTGCTCAGAGCCAGTTCTGGGGCCCCACTTAGGCCCCGCTTAGGCCCACCTTAGGCTCACCTTGGCAATTTGCAGGCCCTTACCTGCCCTGGCTTTTACTTTTAACCCTGTGTTGGCAAGAAATAGCTGTTTCTGTATTTGTTGAGCCTAATGTCCATCACTGATGGGCATGTCATTAGGTTGCAGTAATGAAACCCCAACACCCAGGGTCAGCCCTGAAGGGAGAGTCCTTGGCTGACCTAGGACCTCATATTCGTCCCCCAAGTCCATCTCACCCAGAGTTTTGACAGGAACAACTGGGCGTATGGTGGGCTGCTTACTAAAATGGGGAAGACTGGGCGGTACCTGCTGGGAGTCAGATTCCAGAAATGTTGGGTGTGTTTTTTAGATGCCTATTAGACATTTAAGTGACGACTTCAAAGAGGCAGTTGGATTTGTGAGCCTGGAGCTCAGGTGAAGGAGCTGGACTAGAGGTAGACCTTGGGCGTTGTCAATATTTAGCTTGTACTTAAAACCATGACTGTAGATGAGCTCATCTAGAGAGGTGTCGACTGAGGCGGGAGAAAGGTTCAGGACTGATCCCCAGGTACTCCGATGTGACCGGGGATCAGAGGGAAGCCCAGGTCGTAGAGGTTTTGCATATTATTCTAAGGAGTTTGGGATTTTAGGAGCAGCTGCTATTTATCCTAAAGGTGCTTGGGGACGGGTCAGCTGCTAAAAAAATCTGAAGAGAATGACGTGGCTAGATTTGCATCTTAGAAAGATTGCTCTGGCAGCAGGATGGAGGAGCTGCACCTCCTCAGGAGCTGGAGTTGCGGGGGAGTGGGGAGAGGATGGGGTCCCACTCATCCTTGAGGGAGGGGGAGGGCCTGAGGGGGGTGGTGCCAGCCAAGTGGACTGTCTTTCCCTGGAACAAAAGGCAGATCGGATAGGGAACCTGAGGAAAGAGGTGATGGGGAATTGGGAGGAGGAGCTGACATGTAAAAGGATTGTTGGATAGTCCTGGAATAGTCTTTCCCCCAAAATTAGGCTTAAAACAAACCTCTTAAGAACATTGATAGCTACTATTGAGGAAGCAGTTCTTTTTTGATCCTTCTAAGTGTAAGGCACTATATTGGGTGGATACAAAGATGAATAGGACAGTCTGTCACAGGGGCTTGATGCTTATTAGGGGAACAATACAAGTCTAAAGAGGGAGAGGGGTGGGGAGGAAACCCACAGGACTCTGTCAGGCACCAGTCAGCCACCCTGCCTGCATACTTCATTCACGTCACGTCAGTGCCATCTGAGGTGGGCCGCAGGCCCATTTTGCAGAGTGAGAAGCATTCTCAGAGAGGTTAAGTAATTAGTCCAGCCTCACACAGCTAGTAAATGCTGTAGCAGAATTCAAACATGGCCTTGTTCTCCCTATTAATTCTGTTCCCTCCCTGTTATACTTGGAATGGTAAAGTAGATCAGTTTTGGAACCTCTCAGAAAAATGTCTCTTATTAAAGTGCTGCAGGTCTGTTTCACGAAGCTCAGCCTCCTTTGATGGCTAGATAGCATCAAGATGTTTTACGTCCCAGAGTTGTATGTTTGCATTTCATTTCTATGATGACCTGGTTGCAGATAATGCACGAGTGTAAAATAAGACTTAGAGGCTTCTTTTTTTTTTTGTGAGGAAGATCAGCCCTGAGCTAACATCGGTGCTAATCCTCCCCTTTTTGCTGAGGAAGACCGGCTCTGAGCTAACGTCTATTGCCAATCCTCCTCCTTTTTCTCCCCAAAGCCCCAGTAGATAGTTGTATGTCATAGCTGCACATCCTTCTAGTTGCTGTATGTGGGACGCGGCCTCAGCATGGCTGGAGAAGCGGTGCATCGGTGCACGCCCGGGATCTGAACCCGGGCCGCCAGTAGCAAAGCGCACGCACTTAACTGCTAAGCCAGGGAGCCGGCCCCAAGACTCAGAGGCTTCTGAACGTAAGCACGGTCCACCTGTGAGAGGGAGAGGCGCAGGAACTGCATTTCTGTGAGTTGAACGTTGTAATTTTCTGTTCCTCGTGAGTACGGGGAGTGCATTCCCTGAAGTTCTGTGCAGTTTGTATTATTCTCTGCTATTATGTTATATCAGGTGAAGATAAAGAATCCCTGCACAGTACATTATGTTGCTGTTGGAGTGAGATGCTTTCACAGTTAAGGGGAACTTTTTCCCTAACAAGTCCACTGGCATGTGACACATATGTGTGAGTCCTCACATTTGGGACTTGGGCTGTGATTTTCTTTTTGCTCCTTCCTTCCCTCTTCTCGTCTCTTTCTCTTCTTCCCAAATGCCCTCAAGAGAGTTCATGGTCCTAACGGAGGGATGGGGAAATACCCAGATAGTGACTCTGCGGTCCTGTTGTGGAGGGCAGCCCAGCTGAGAGCTATAGGACCTTATCAGGGAAGAGTTCCTGGAGCAAGAGGGCTCTGCATTTAGTTTTGAATGCAGAGTAGGGGTCAGCCAGGTGAAGGGCAGGGATGGTGGCTCCAGTGGCAGGAACAGCCTGGGCAGAGGCCTGGAGGCTTGTGGGGCAGGGGCTTGGGCGAGTGCCCTGTGCTGAAAAGCCCTAAGTGGTCCGTCTCCCTGGGTTCAGCGTGGGGGTGCTCCTGCGGAGGAGGGCGCTGGTCAGGAGGGGCCTGGTCATGGAGGGCTTCGGAGGAGCTTGATGTTTTAAAACTGATAAGAGAGGGAGGCAGTGAGGGGTGTCAGTGGGGAGTGACCTCTAGGAGAGGTATTCCTGGTTTTGTTGGTCCCTTTTGAGACCCATCCATTCATTTGTTTACTCATAGCAAACATGTTTCTGAGTGTCCAGGGGAGAAGGGTGGACACACAATAGTAAGCACAGTGTATTAGCCTTTTGGGAGCTTAGAAACGTCAGAAGTTGATTCAGCGTAGAATGTTCTAGGAACATAGCAGGGACACCTAACCCAAAGTGCAGAGGTTGGAGGCAGGAAGGCTTCCTTGAGAAACTGACAGTCCAAATGAGCCCTAAGGAGAGTGGGAAGTAGCTGGGCAGAAGGGGTCAGGTGGAGCCTGAGGTCACTGGGGACTCGGGTACTGCAGGAAGGCTGTAGAGGGCAGGGGGCAGTGCTAGGAGGGGAGGCTGGAGTGATGGGAGGGGGCTAGAACTGTGTTCGAGAGCCTTTGAAAGGTTGAAGTGGGGGAGTGACATTATCAGGTTTGTGCTTTGGGAAGGCCACTTCAACTGTGTGTTTGGTGTGTGTATGTGTGTGTATTTGTGTGTGGTATGTGTGTATGTATGTGTGGTGTGTGTGTGGTATGTGTGTGTGTGGTGTGTTTGTGTGTGTGTGGTGTATATGTGTGGTGTGTGTGTATGTGGGGTATATGGTGTGTGTGTAGTGTGTGTGTAAGTGTAGGTAGCAGGGACAGAGGGGAGGGGTGATGCGGAATGGGGAGGGTCAGAGAGATCATTAGAAGGCTGTGAGGTAACCGTGGGAGAGAGAGGTGCCAGGGGTCTGGTTGGGCACGGCAGGGGCAGTATAGCTGTAGTATTTTCTTATGGGGAGGGCTTGTTAGTGGGGCCGTCCTAACATTGTCCTGTGGCTCGGAAGAAAACAAATGGAGGCTGGTGTTCCCTCTTCTCTCCCTCTCTGCCTTATGTGATAATCCTTGTTCACCCAACAGGTGGAACAGAAAAGCTAAGTTCCAGGGTAGCCAAAGAGTGTGTTGAGCTCGTCCGAGTTAGATCTGATAGGATTTAACTTTGTATTGAGGTCTGTCAATAACATTCATTTAGCTAGAAACTTCTCATCTTTTGGATTTCTATTGGGGTTTTTGTTCTTGATAAGATTGCTTTTTTGGTCAGGGAAAATTTAATACAGGTGCTATTTTTCTTGAAAAAAAAATGTCTTAAGAAATTTAGTATTAAAAAGAATAGGAATACTTAAAAATGATAAAGGAAGATTTTGGTATAGTTTCTTTGGTTTCTGAGTTGATAGGGAGTTTGAAGCCTTTGCATTATTTAATAGCACATTCTTGCCAATATTTAAAGAGCTGTTAGTGAGTGCCCAGGCCCCAGCCTCTCAAAGCATTATTAAAGCTTGCTCTGAAATACTGAAGATAAAGGTCTTGTTTGCAAAAACCAAATGGTTGGCTTATAATCTGCAGCATAGCTCTCTTTATAAAATAATAATAGGTTCGAAGTTAAGAAAGTGGAAGATAATTGATTTTTTAAAAAGCAGAAATATAAACTTGTGGTAATGTTGCAACTGGAAAATTTGAGAAGAAAATTCTTACTCTAAAACTGTCTGAGTGAAATACATGGTAGAAGTCATATATACCTATTATGTTTAGAAAATAACTTGGCGGTAGTTTTAGAAGTTAGAACCATTCCAGCTCACGTAACTGGCAATGATTAGTTGCTGACTTCAATTATAGAGCCTAAAGTTGCCTTCTCAGCAATTTCTTGTAGTGAGAGAGTTGATAGTGCTTAGCCAGTGTACTTTTGGGGCAGAAGTCGTGCGTTAGCAATGATTCATTTCCATGCATTCTATTTTTTAGACATTACAAGAAGCGGTGCCAAGGACGCATGAGGAAACATGTGGGGGACTTATGCCTGCAGGCCGGGATGCTGCAGGACTCCTTGGTCCATTACCACATGTCGGTGGAGCTTCTCCGCTCAGTGAATGACTTCTTGTGGCTTGGAGGTAAGATTGTCTGATGAAGATGATCAGATATATAATTATGGCAACTGTTCTTTCAAGTAAGAGAAAACAGAAAAAATGGCTCTGAAAATAAAGGATGGGGGAGGAGAAGCAGTCAGCTGTGCTGGTTGCTGTGGGCATCGTCTGGGAACTTCCCCGCCTTATCTTCTGCCACTTCTGCACCCAGGCCTGCACTGCAGTCCTGCTGAAGCCTGCATGCACTTCCCTCTAAAACGCATTGTCTCTCCTTGTTCCTCTGCTGTTTTTTTAGCACACCTTGCCCTCTGCTTAGAATGCCATTCCCCACATTTGTCATCTCTTACACTCATTCTTCACAACCTCATCCGTACGTCAGCTGATGAATGGGTAAACACACTGTGTGTAAACACTGTGTGATTTACCCATACAGTGGAATGTTATTCAGACATAAAAATGAATGAAATACTGATACCACTGCAACACGGACAAACTTTGAAAACCATGCTAAGTAAAAGATGCCAGACACAAAAGGCCATATATTGTATGATTCCAATTATCTGAAATGTCCAGAATAGGCAAATCTATAGAGGCAAACAGCAGATTACTGGTTGCTAGGGGCTGGGCAGAGGGGAGATTGGGGAGTGACTGCTAAAGGGTATGGGCTTTCTTTTGGGGAGATGAAAATGTTCTGGAATTAGATAGTGGTACTGGTTGCACAACTGTGAGTATACTAAAAATTGCTGAATTGTACACTTTTAAGTGGGTGAGTTTTATAGTACGTGAATTATATCTCAATTTAAAAAACTAAAAAGAAACCAAAACAGAAATAAACCTCCTTCAAAGGGCAGCATTTTCTGACCCCTCCAGGCAGTTGTTGTTCAGAACTCTATTATAGAGCTTACTCTTTGTGCTGGAATTGCATGTTTAGGTGTTTTTCTCCTTCAGGGACTTTCTCATGGGAGTGGGAGGCGTGGTCTGTGTGTGTCCATCATCTAGCATACTGTAGATGTTCCATAAATGCTTGTTAAGTGAATGTTGTGTAAGGACTAAAATAGGGTTCTTTCCTTGAAGAAGCTGACAGTTTAGTCAGGGGGCCTATCTGTCAGCCACTTAGGATAGTACAAGTCAGAATGAAGGAACCAAGTAAATTCTTTAATAGAAGTTTAACATGCTATAGAATACATTAAATATAAGAAATACTTAAAATGGACTTAAGTTTCATAATTTGGCTTCTTAAAGAGGATAGAGAAATAAAAGTGGGAAAGAGAAGGAGAGAATAGGAAGAGATGGAAAAGAAAAGAGAAAGAGAGAAAGGATTAAGCAGGATGAGAAAGAATGTGAGATTTGCTTAGTTTTCTTGAAAGAGAAGTCTATAAATACTTGTTATTGATTGGTGGAACATATCCGTATCCCAGGGAGCTTTAACAGTAGGGCCTCTGCTGCAGGCACTTATCCAGAAAGAATAGTACCCACTCATGTACCTCACACCCAGAGAGTGATCCACCAGGTCGGTAGGGTTCATAAAGAAGGTGCGTGGAGATGGACTGTGCTGTGTGCTGTGTGCATCTTTCACTTTCCTCTCATATATATGCAGTCTCTAATGTATGTCTCTCATAAACATATGTGTACATCTCTCATAAACATATAGTGGAGTTTCCCAGAGGCTACATGACCTATGACAACAGATCGGGTGCCGAAGCAGATATGAGAATCTACCTCACTTGTATGAAGCCAGACATTAAAGAAATTTGTAAAAATGGTATAACAATGCCACTTTTCCAGCATATTATTTTATTTATTTATTTATTTGGTTTTTTGCTGAGGAAGATTAGCCGTGAGCTAACATCTGTTGCCAATCTTCCTCGTTTTTCGCTTGAGGAAGATTAGCCCCGAGCTAACATCTGTGCCAGTCTCCCTCTACTTTATATGTGGGTTGCTGCCGCAGCGTGGCTGACAAGTGGCATAGGTCCATGCCTGGTATCTGAACCTGAGAACTGGGGCTGCCGAAGAGGAACGCGCCAAACCTAACCACTACACCACAGGGCCAGCCCCCCAGCATATTCTTTTTGTTTTGGAAAATAGTTACTTTTCATAAAAATTCAGCATGTAATGAGGTTCTCATTATTTTAAAAGGAATTAACACATAAATATTTAAATCCTTTTCTGGTTTTAATTTCAAATATGGTAAATATCTCTAGACGTAACCTGCACCAAAAAAACTCTTTGTGATCTTCAGTAATTTTTCAGAGTGTCAAAGAGTTCTAAGACCAAAAAGTTTGAGAACCGCTGAACTAATGAATAAAGATGAACACTGTAGCACAACTAATAAGGCATGTGGCATAGCTTGAAATTTTTAGGATATAACTGCTGGTAATAGAAGAACGAAATGTACTCCAAGTAACTGTGGCTGCCTTTGAGAAGGAGACAGGCCTACAGGTATTTGCTCCAAACTGAACAGATGCATTTAGGGTGTGTGATGTGGAAAGGTGTTCTGGTCCTGCTTCTGGTGGTATTTTTGAAATATTTTCAGTCCAGGGCACTTTCTGCTACACATCTCTGTAGCATCAGAATCGGGCACAGAGCCTGCCTCACGGTATGCGCTCAACTGTTGGTTACATGAGGGAATGAATGGCTGAGGAGGCTGGCCCATTTCACATGTGTACTCAGCCCCACAGTGAAGCCTTGAGCATCGTGAGACTTTCCTGTGTTGCCGGCCTCGACGTGGGCTTGCGAAAGATAATAGGTGGCATGTTCCTGTTTGTAACAAAACCAGTGATCTGTAGATTTGATCTTTGTTTTGGGGAAAAATTGGCATTTCCACATAATCTGTTCAAATCATTCTTAGCCATGCAATTTGAGCTAACGATGGGCCACTAACTTTACTAATTGTACTTTTTTTTAATGCCCAGCTGCCCTTGAAGGGTTGTGTTCGGCTTCTGTCATCTATCACTATCCTGGTGGAACCGCTGGTAAGGCTGGAGCTCAAAGGGTCCCGGGCAGCTCGCTTCCTGCTGAAGCAGCCAACAGACACCGACCGGGTAAGCTCTGCTCTGTCCTCCGGCCTGGACTCATCTATAGTCTTTAAGCAAGTGGGAGTAATTTATTACTTGTCCCTCTGAGTTAAGGCTGACTAATGTTTAAATAAAGTGTAATATCTACTGAGTCAGAAGAAATCTTGCACGAGACATTTTCTTCTGATTTTATTGAATATTTATTGATCTTATTGAATAATGTTAATGGATTACAATGATTGGTTGATTTCTGGAAAACTTGCATAAAACTTCGTGGTAGACCCTTGAAGTTCCGTTTCTGGGTCTTTTTCATAATTTCTGTGTATTCGGTGAAGCTGGTCCCAGATGTCAATTTTAAAGCTAAATCAGGGTCTGGGAGCTGTTTCTTATTTTCCTGGTTGATGAAGTTCTCTTAATGAGTTAAGTTTAATTTGCTTATGTTTGTTAGCACCAATGAAGAGTAAAAAATCTTCTTTGGAGGAGCAGACCCACAAATGCTTGTTGAATGAACTTGACCCTTTTGACTGTTAACGAATGAACTTGCCTTAAATGGTTCAGGATATAGTTGTCATATTGCACAGATCACAAAGATAATAACAAAGAATGCAGAAATCAAGGCTATACACATAACTGGTAGGTGTTTTTTGATCCATGAGATTTTTAGATATTTTTTTCCTCAGAGAGAAAGCCCACTGTAGTATTGGATGGGGAAAAGCCTTAAATTTCTTTTTTCGCTGAATTATACCATCCCCTATGATCTGTAAAGAACGCAGAAATTACCTTTATGAACCAGTTACCGTAGCGGCACAGCCTGAATCTGGCTGCAGTCTTTGTAGAACTGCTTAGATGAATCTATAATGGTTCTTGAAGATATTTTATCATTCTTCAGCAGAGCATTCCTAATGGTTTTAGTGGCATCTCGGTTATTTGAGAGGAAAGTAAAGCAGGCTGAGAAGTGACATAGAAAGTCTGAGGTTGAGGATATCTCTACTCCTGCCTTTCCCTGTGCTTTGATTCTGACTTGAGATGTTGCGTCAGCGTCCACCTGTATTTATTCCTTGTTGTTATAATTGCTATCTCTGGTATGAGATTACAGCATTTTAAGTTGCATTGTCTTCTCTGGTCAGTGACCAGGTGCTAGAATCTCCCACACACTCAGAGAGGTGCAAGCATGCTTCATTTTCTCTAGAAGGGGAGCTGCTGCGCTCTCCAGGGGAGCCCTTTTGTTGGAGGTTGTTTTTTTGTCCCCTGTGATTTGAAGAGTTATCATGTGCTGAGACTGTTCTGATGTGGTTAGTGAGACTCGAGAGACTTGGAGAATAATGTTTCCTTTTTTCTCCTTGCTGAATGTAGGCAAAAACAGTTTTAAGCTTTTTTGAAAAACTACTCTGTCTTCAGTAGAGAAGTGTCCTTTTTAGCTTTACATAGTGTAAGAAACTTGAGAACTTTTTCCTGTTGAAGATAGTCTGTGGGGAGAAACATCTAGTGAAGCCCAGGCGAGAGCTGAAAGAGCAGCGCTTATCTCATTAGGTCAGTGATGCTGTTACTACCTGTCAAGCAATAGAGGGTCCAGATCCATTAATGGGCTTGATATCATGAACAGATATGTTGCTTTATCTTGGATATTAATTTCAAGATTATTCAGTTCGTAGTGGCAACCTCGTCTTACATCAGGAATTTATGGCATCTACTATCTGAGGTGAAGACCAGACAAACTAATTATTTAACATTCTACCTTGAATTTATATCTCAGGTTCCTTTTTCAACAGCAAAACAGCAGAAACACAGGTGTCGCTTAATGTCAGTGTGACCTGGAGCAAGTTGCTTAATCTCTCTGTGCCTCAATTTCTTTATCTGTAAAATGGGAAGATAATAATAGTACTTACCTTATAGGGTTCTTGTGAATGAGATGATACACATGTAAAGGACCCAGAACAATCCTAGCCAGTACTTGGTAAATGTTAGCAGCTATTATTATTATTAATACATATTGTTATTATTGTTGATTATCAAGTCGTTTTAAGACTTGGTAATATGAATCATGAATAATGTTAAAAGACTCTAGATATCTCAGATCCCGATTACATAGTTTTCAAGCAGATTTCCTCTGAGAAAAGAGATTTTTTTTTCCCTCTTAAAATTGAGTTATCTTAGTTTCAAAAAGAATTCTTTAGTCCCTACCTCCTTTTGCTTTAATTCTCCTTTTGTTTTAATTTTTTTTAACTTTCGTTTCTTGGTATTTAAAGGTTAGGGGCCATTAATTCTTTTCTCTAGAGACTTGTATATGAACCTGTAAGTCTATAATTTATTTATTTATTTTCCCCCAAAGCCCCAGTAGATAGTTGTATGTCATAGCTGCACATCCCTCTAGTTGCTGCATGTGGGACATGGCCTCAGCATGGCCGGAGAAGCGGTGTGCCGGTGCGCGCCTGGGAATCGAACCCCCGGGCCGCCAGCACCAGAGCGCACACACTTAACCGCTAAGCCACGGGGCCGGCCCATGTAAGTCTATAATTAACAGACAAAACTTGGTGTATTAAAAAAATAAATAGGACATTCTGCAATCAATCCAAAAGGAAATGCTTATTGACTTGTAAACATTTCTCTTTTATGGTCATTTCTACTTTTTGGCCTATCTTAGTTTAATAGTGATCATCATCATCATCATTATCACAATGGCTATGAGTTATTCAGCACCTACCATAGGCCAGTGGCTGTGCTAAATGCTTTATGTCTTACCTCATAGCAGGCGCCCAGGGCAAGTACAGTACCTCCTTTTTCCGGGCGAGGGACTGAGGTTTAGAGATGAGGCATCTTGCCCCAGATCACACACTGGCAAGTTGCGGATCAGGACTTGAACCCAGGTTGGTCTGACTGCACAGTGAGCATTAATTGCTCCTCTAATCAGCCTCCTTTTGACTGGTGTCCTGAACGTCTGTGAGTTCATAAATCACAGATTTTAGTGATCTCAGCCTGACAAGGCCTTAAAAGAAGAGATAGCAGTGAAAATATGAGACAGAGTGGAATAGATTAAAATTGTACATTTTCACAAACATTCTCAGCTAAAAAAACTAAAAAGTTAATATTTTTTATTTTCTTAACTCTGTAAGCACTAAAAATAAAACTTTAAAAATTATTACAGAGCACAAGAAGGGGGGCTTTGAAAATCTAACCATTGCTAGTGACTTATTGCTTGTGTGTCTCTAGTGATGCTTGTTGAGAGAAAAAGTTATGAAGACTGAGTTGGTTTTATGTAGTCTATGGTATGGAAGAAAAGATTAAGTCAGGAATGTTGAGAGAAAGTAAAAATCTATACTCTTTTCTTTCCTGATGATGAATATGTAAGTTTTATGGACATGGGACTTGTCAGCTTTGTTTTTATGGCCTAAGTACATTCCCTCATTTGTGAACCTAAAATAAAGTTATTTACCTTATGAGAGTTAGATACCATGTATGCAAAGTCCCTAAGAGGTGCACAATAAAACTTTGCTGTCACAATGACATAGATTGTTTAGAAGCACCAACTTTGAATACTGAAGAGAGTGATTTATTTCTGGTGCATAGTCAATACGTATATGCATATGATATATATGAATATGATTTTAATGATAAGGATTCAGTTACATTTTTTTTAGTACAGTATGAAGTTTTGATGAAATGAGTGTCATTCTAGTAAGATAAAGGATAGCTAAATTGCCTTAAGTGGAAGAACTTAAATATTAGTTGTAAAGAATGTATATTTTTACAACTCTGAATTCATCTTGCCATGTAAACACCCACTAAAACCTTCAAATTACTAGGAATATGACCATAGTGATTAAGTTTAGCAAAATTGACATTGAGCTATTTTCAGAGAATAAGCTTATCTCTTTTGTGGTTGAAGAAAATTTTGATTTTTTCTGTATCTTAATAGGTTAAAAAAAATCAAAATGTTGATTTGACATCTGTCACTTTTCCTTTATAGAGAGAATAAAAGGAAGCTCATGCTGTTTTATTATCTCAATGAACGTTTTTGTATTCCAGTAAAATTGTGTGTTGTATAGTTACTAGACCTTTGGGAAGTATTTTGCAAGACGCTTAGACTACCCACTGTTGGAAAAATGCAGATGCGACTTTTATGAATATAGGGTTAGTATAGATCCATTGGTTTTTGGGATAGTGCAAGATACAAGGACTAGGAGTAAGCTTTGCTAATGATTGCTAGAAGGGCAGATTCCCTGGATCTCATCTCTCTCTCTGTAAAGCGAAGAGGCTGGACTGGATGCCCAAGATTCCTTCCTATTCTAAGATTAGTTACCATGATCCTGTGTTTTTTGTTTATATTCAGGAGTGTTAAAGATTTCAGATTAAGTACTGAATTCCACTCGCTTCCCTGAAGTAGAATTCAGAATGTGCTAGCTAAGCTTTTAGTTATGGTCTCTGAGCATCCTGTTTTTTAAAATCTTACTGATCATTGCTTATATGCGGCCAATTTTTTGGTTGCATCTTTTCCAGCAACTTGGAAAGCCTTTTTTGGCCATAGGTGGTGCTGTTGCACCTTTTAAAGTCAATTTTCCTGTTTGTAAAAGAAGACTTAATGTTCCTTTAATTTGATTGCTTTGTTTAATGCTTCAGCATAGCACAATGTCTATTATGTCTGGATACCTAGAAAAAGTATTCTAGTTATATCTTATTTTTAAGATTCTGTCATCTCTGCGTGAAAATTTCAGACTTGCTATGTGAACAATGGCGAAATTGGACTTTTCTTCCAATATTAGAAACCAGTCAGCCTTGATCTTATAAAAAAGATAGAAATGGTCTCTGGAAAACCAAATCTGAAAAACATATTGAACTCCCTGAGTATTGAACCCACTGTTGTATTTTTTTTTTTTTAAACATTTTATTTATTTATTTTTCCCCCAAAGCCCCAGTACATAGCTGTCTGTCATAGCTGCACATCCTTCTAGTTGCTGTATGTGGGACGCAGCCTCAGCATGGCTGGAGGAGTGGTGCCTCGGTGCGCACCCGGGATCCGAACCCGGGCCGCCGGCAGCGGAGCGCACGCACTTAACCGCTAAGCCACGGGGCCGGCCCCCACTGTTGTATTTTAATTAATGGGAGGTGATTTGGTATCATGGAAAGAGCCTAGTTTTTTGACTTGGGTTTGAGTGTGCGGCCATGCAAACTTGAGTGAGTTCTTTCTCAGTTTTTCCCTCGTCTGTAAATGGGGATGCTAATATCATCTTTGTAGAATTGTCAGTTTAGCGAGAAATTGTATAACGTGTTTAGCACAATGGTTATCTCATAAAAGATCTCATAAACTTTAGCTATTATTTTGTGTGAAGACATCATTTTATAGTCTTGGGCAATTACTAAGAAATTAAAATAGGAAAATATGGTTTTATGAGGAAAAATTCAATTAAGAAATGAGTGAAATATTTGAAGAAGATCAGTAGTTCCTATACTCATAATTTAGCAGCAGCATCAGAGATAGGGCCATTATGCAGTCATTCTGAACCTATGTTAAACCACAGAATTATAGTCAATTAGTATATGTTAAAGGTTAAGGGGGCCCAATAATTACAGTCCAGTTTTCTCCACCAGCCAATTGAGAGATGAGACAAGAGAGTAGGCAGGTGGAGGTAAATGTCACCTTTATTACTGATAAAGCCACATTTTCCATGAACTTTAGGGATACAGGAAAACAGGTATCTTCATACTGTATCCCGGAACTAGACAGATGCACCCAGCCCCAGGCAGCTCTGGGCCATAGTAGGTCTTCCTATGAGAGGACCTGCCCCTGTCGTACTCAGGGCACGGAGGAGCGGAGCATCCTGGGTGCTGCCTGAGGGTGGCTGGCATCTAAGGGAACAAGAAGGGTTTCACGTGCCCAGCTTGTCTCCCACCGCTAGTCCTCCTCGCATGGTGGAGTGAGTTATGAGTTTAGGGAGTCTGGGAGACGGCAGGGCACGTGAAACCCCTCTTGTTCCCTTGGGTGCCGGCCACCCTCAGGCAGCACCCAGGAAGCTCGGCTCCTCCGTGCCCTGAGTCAGGAGTGTTAAGGGAAGAGCCTTCGTAATGGAAACCAGAGGAACGGGGAGGAAGTGTCCCCTTCCCCCAGTTTGAACAAGTCATGGGGTGGAACAGAAAGGTGCTTTCCAAGAATTTGTAAATAGGGAAATAAGGCTGTCCTTTGGGACTCAGACTAGCAAGGAAATACAAAAGACGATTAGAACGGAGATTTGTAAAATCACCTTAATAGTTAACATTTGTTGAGCACTTAAAATGTGCTACACGCTTTTCTAAGCATTTTATATAAACTATTTATTTATTTGTGAGGAAGACCAGCTCTGAGCTAACATCTAATGCCAATCCTCCTTTTTTTTGCTGAGGAAGACTGGCCCTGGGCTAACATTCGTGCCCATCTTCCTCCACTTTATATGGGACGCCACCACAGCATGGCTTCACAAGTGGTGTGTCGGTGCACGCCCGGAATACGGGCTGGTGAACTCCGGGCCACCGCAGCGGAGTGTGTGCACTTAACCACTTGCGCCACTGTGCCGGCCCCCTATATAAGCTAATTTAATCCTTTAATCCTCACAACAACCCAGTAAAGTAGGTTTGATTATTATCCCAGTTTTATAGATGTGGAAATTGAGGCACAGAGAGGGTGAGTAACTTGACCAAGGTCACAGAGCTAGTAAGTGGAGGAGCTGGGATTTAAACCTTGGCACTCCAGCTTCCAGGCTCCCAGAGACTGGCTTTGGGTGTTCAGCAGTGTCAGCATGTCTGTAGATCTATATGTACATCTACACATCAGGCAGGGGTAGGCCAGCTAGAGAGGGCGGGAAAAGGAGAGGTGTACAAACGTTCACAGTTGTGTCTGGGCCACTGTCTGTGGAGAGTGCCCTGTGCTCAGCGTTAACTGTCTGGGCAGCAGGTCTGTCCCTGTAACAGAAATGTGGTCCATCAAGTGAATCTAGAAAACTCCTCTTGCTGTGCTTCAGTCCATGCTTGCCACGTAACCTCCTGCCTGTGATTGTGCCACCGAGGAGAAAATGTGCCGATTGTTGAACTCTGATATTTTAGTCTGATAATTTTATGTCTTCTATTACATTGATAAATTAAACCTACAGTTTTCTTACATCAGTCTCTTATGAGTCTGGTTAATGTGAAATTAGTTCATTGGAGCCTAATGGTGCTGACAGTCACATTTCTGAGCACATCGAGGTACTTCTACCCATAGAGACCTGGCTGGAGGATGCCCCTTTTTCTCATCGTGTGATTTCTTCAAACAGCACTAATTATTATTCCCCCTCCCACCCACGCAGGACAAGAAGTCTTCTGAGTAGGCCATATAATCAGAAAACAAAGTCCACGTGTTACTCTCACCAATCAGAAAACTATTAAGTACCTAGAAGTGAGTTTAATAAAAGAAAAGTGCTTCCAGGAAGTCCAATTAGATGTTAAAGTCCATTTGGTAAAAAGCTGTCCATTTTTTGCGGTTGAATGTTTTCTTTGCTTTTTGAAAAAATTATCTGGGCCAGGTGGCTCACAGATCCACACTGGATTAGATGAAGAGATCTTAAAAGGCCGAAATGGGTTGTTTCAGGTACATCCACGCCAGTGAGAATGACAGTTGACTGCCTGTGTGAGGCATGAGACAGGAAGATTTTTACAAATTGAATAAAATAACCTTAAAAGCCCTGCAATTTGAGTGCAACTTAACACGGGGCCCAGTTCATCACTAGACATGCTGAGAGGTCAAATCATTGATGATTGTGGTAATGACTCTGAGGCGTCAAAAAAGTTTCAATCATATTCCCTATCTAAAGGATATGGCACAGGATCATTTATTTGACCAGGTTTTTCACTGTACAGGAAGTTTTTAGAGTTATTTGGAAATCCAGAGTTCCCCAAGTTTTCACACAGCTGCGTGTCTCTTCAGTGCAGATCTGTCAGCTTGTGTCGGGGGCCGTGGTGTCATGGAGAGTGTGATGTGGAGCATCCCTCAGTCTCCCCGTCCGCAGTGAGGTTGATCATCCCTGACTACTTCGTAGGGCTGCTCTGAGAACCACACATGCTGGTTGTCAAGCACTGTGCTTGGCATATAGTTGGTATTCAATAGCAAGCACCTGTTTTTACTATAATTGTGGCTTCTAGATTGCAGTGATTTTTAGTCTGTACAGAGATAGGACCATGATCATGGGACCTATTCTCTATATAGACAATTGAATAAATATGCTATTTCAATAAGAATATATGTTATTGGGACATACCTTTCTGAATCTTGTTAATGTGTTTAAAAATGATCATAGCGGGGCCGGCCCAGTGGCATAGCGGTTAAGTTCGCGCACTCCGCTTTGGCGCCCCGGGGTTCACCAGTTCGGATCTTGAGCACAGACCTACACACCCATCATCAAGCCATGCTGAGGCAATATCCCACACAGAGCAACTAGAAGGACATACAACTATGACATACAACTATCTACTGAGGCTTTGGGGAGGAAAAAAACAGGAAAAAAGGAGGAAGATTGGCAACAGATGTTAGCTCAGGGCCAATCTTCCTCCCCAAAAAAAAAAAAGATCACAGATAATGATAAACACCACTCTTGGAACCAGAACCTCTGAGGGTGTGTTTGCCATCTTGGGAAATTACATTCTACAGAGAAGGCTGATTGGATCAAATATCGTGGATATTTAGATAGTTTAGCAGATGATCAAGGCTTTCAAAACCTTCTTGATAATAAATTAACTGTTTTGTATTTTAAACTAACTACAAAGCTACCTTCTAAAAGTTGGAAATCATTAGCTTGTGACATATCTAGTAATTCACTGTGTGTGAGTGTGTGTGTGAGGGTGGGATTTAGGAAGGTAGTGATAAGTGCTGTATAGCCTCTGGTACCTTTTACCCCCTATTCCAAGGTGTGGGCACATAATTGCACAAATGAATTACTATTCCTTTGTCATTTGGCTTATTTGTGGAAATAAGAAATTCTCATGCTTGCTTAAGAAGAGCTGGGGAGCATGAGTGTAGAAAGTGGGGAGAGGCAAGGAGGCACTTGACAGTTTGTGCAGAGTCTGAGTAATAGTATTCTTTTCTTTCCTTCTAAAGCAAAAAGGCACTGAACTTGTTATTCAGAATTGCTTTTCTGATCAGATACAAGTGTCTCAGATTTTTCAAGGCTATGTGAATTATGAAATGTGATTTAGTAGTTATCTTTAAAAGTAGTTTTGTTTTCCAAATAAAAGACCATAATCTGTTCTTTCTTCCAGGGGCACAAGAAGTTCTCATTGATCCAGGTACATGATCTATGTGCTTAGTTTCTTTTGGTTGTTTTTTTAAGTGCTTGTTTCATGGTGATGTGAATGAATGCTTAAAAATTCTGGATGATGATCTTTGGAACATTCTGATTTAAGTAATTTTAAATCAGAACTGTTAAAAACCTGACAATTGTTTGGTCTTTGTTTGATGGGGCACCCTGTTGATTTATGTTGTCTGTTGAAGAGGAAAATTCCTCTAGCATGGTTAAGTGAATGATTTGCAAAATGTGCATTTAAAATTCTTTGAATGCATTGAGCATGCTTGTCCAGTTAATTTTGAATTTATGCATAGTAATGACTTTGCTCTGATTCTATGCTTTATGCTCCTCTCAACATGAATTTGAATTCTCTACTACATTTTGCATATATGTTCTTGACAGGGAAAGAAATTTTGCATTTTTTGTAGAGGTGGGTTTTCCTTTCTCCTCTTAACACCTTCTGTAATTAATACAGCAAAAATCTCTGTTATCGCAGTGCTTAATTATTTCATAATGAGCTCTATTATTTTATGGCTTAATCAGAAACAATGACAAAGGTTAAATAGTAAAAAAATGAAAAACTTCCTTTCTCTGAAGAATGGAAATCAGATAGTCATGCTTACACGTGCTTTGTGACAACACATGTATTTGCATTTCCTTGTGTATCTTGATTCTGAAATGAAATTGCTTCAGGTTTGCAGATTTTTGTTTGAACATTTGTGTTGAATCCTTTCTCTAGGCTAATGTTTCCTGGTAGGGTTTGTGGAAAGTGAAGAGGAAGGAAAACCAGTGCTTTGTTTTGTTTTCAGGAGACCTGAGTTGCTGATGAGAAAACAATGGAGGGGTGGGCGGAGGAACTGAACAGCACTCTGGCTGAAATGGATGAACAATTAAATAGATGTTAGATGTATTGGTATTTGACCAGTGGAAGTTATTGAGTCCAGTCTAGCCAGTTATGCCTGATGGAAAGTACTGAATTTCAGTGTGTCGACCACCTTACTTACAGGAGAATTAGGTGCTTATACCAAGAAGAAGTAGCTTAGAGCTATCAGAAAAATCAGTCATTTGTTGAGATAAACAAAGAATATACATTTTTTATTTCTGAAAATTTTCGAAATAAGGTTGTACAGAGAGGAAATTGAGTTTAGAGTGCTGGGAGTAAAAGGGAGGTGGTTCTGTGGGGCCTTGTTATTCAGGGATGTGTCAGATCTTGCTGTGGAGGTTGAAGCTAGCCGGGAAACGACACAGGAACCAGGGTTTGGGGTCTGGGGGCATCTTATTAGATTGGTCCCAAATTAGAAAAATGTGGACTTGATCTCCATTGCCCGAGGGAGAGCAAGTAGAGAGAGAATCGAGCCTCTGCTCTCCCCACACATTCCAGTTCCTACTACAGCCACTCCAGTTCGCCGTCACCTTCTGGCTTCTGCTCACAGACCCAGGACAGACCACAGCTTTTCTTTACTTACCAAGATCTCATCTGTCTTTCAGGCCTTAGTCTCTTCTCTGTTTTTTTTTTTTTTCTTAATTTTATTTATTTATTTATTTATTTTTTCCCCCCAAAGCCCCAGTAGATAGTTGTATGTCACAGCTGCACATCCTTCTAGTTGCTGTATGTGGGACGCGGCCTCAGCATAGCCGGAGAAGTGGTGTGTCGGTGCGCGCCCGGGATCCGAACCC